ATAATCCTGGCCCTTATTATGAAATCTTACTTATGAGCCAAACGATAGATATGCTAACATAGAGTAAGATAGTTATAGGTATGAAGTGAAAAAGTTGAGTAGCAAAATCTACCGAAATTCGTTTTTTTGGATTCACAGGGGCATTGTTTTCTACCTCAGAGTTACTCTTGAGGGGGTATTCAAGCGAGGGCTTTGGAATGGCTGATTCAAATCCATCGGGTCTCTGGCTCAAATTGAGAGAATCTCTAAGCGTCTTCGCTAGGTCGTCAGGGAGGTAGTCACAAACGACCTGGCAAGACAGCCATAGTTTCATCTCGGGAGATATGAGGCCCAGTTGTTGAGAAATTGCAGATTTAGAATCTTAAAATTAAATGAAATATGTATATTTAGAGACAACCAAATATGAGGTATAGCGATAGAATACCTGGAGCATAACCTAGAGAGGAAGATTCACTGAATGTATCGGGGCAAATTGACTTAAGGCTTTTGAGTTTGTCACAAGCTTGGAATATTAAGTGCTTCATCCATTGGTGGGGTAGCTGATCGATGCAAGCTGAAACGGTGTCTATTCGCTTTTTGAGCCAATTTACGACAAGTTCTTGATTATAACGATAGACGGGAAAACCGGCAACCTCTGAAAATAGGGCTTATAAATGGCTACCTTTAAAATCACAAATTTGACGGACTCTGTTTTCTAAAGCAATGTTATTACCAAAGGCTAAGCCGAGGCTGGGATCATGATCTGAGAGAACTACAAGCCAAGTAACAAATCGGCTCTAAAGAAAAATTGAAATATAAGTAGCTACACTACATTGCATTTTAGGGCCGGAAGCAAAAGGAAGATAGGATCTAGCGGAGAACAGAAATAAAGACTGCCATCTTTTGACAAAATAATTACAACAAGAAAGTACCTTTTTTTATACTATCTCCAACAAGCCAAGAGGAAAATCCCTCTTTGTACTTCTGAATCTCAAAAAACATATTAGTTTGATGGTCCAATAGGAAGATGCATGGATTATCTTAGAGAAATAATGTCTCTAATAACTTACCAGTCCTTGGATGCCGCATTCGTATAAGTTTCGCAGTGTGCGACTTTGTAAACGCCCTTTCTAAATCAAAATAAAATTTTTAAGCAAATTGAACCTTGGGCCACAAAGACGAACGACTCCCCCATGTGACGAAATTTAAAGAGACGGTGAACGCATAAACAGATTCGGTTATCTTAAAATACCATTAAAGCGTAAATAATTTCAGTTATGTGAAATTTTAATAGGCCGTTTGTCGATTTGAGATTATAAGATTATAAGATTATTTTTATTGTGAAAA